GCTACCTTTTTTTATATTGAAAAGCATTGTTGATTATTTCTTATAGACATGGGGAATGGTGGTATACAGAGTTGAAAAATCAAAAGTTTTGATAGAATTAATATCGGAGAAAGATCGAGATTTAAAATTGTCCAGAAGTTCTTATGAGTTTTTAGAATCCACATATGGTTAATACCACTACGCGAGCCAATGTTCTAACTCAAACTTATTAACATTTTGTTTTCTTTGGAAACCTAAAGACAGTTTTTGTTGTTTGTTTCGTCGGCAAAACAGCAAATTTTGCAATTTTTCATTTAAAAAGGGGCATAATACTAGAACGATGAAAGTGACGCCAACCAAATTCGAACATGATCTGTGTTTGGGGGTAATACGCATTGTGTATACGGTTATAACATTTGGTTGAAGCAAAGTAAAGTTAGAGTGCGGTAACGGCAAATTCAGCAAATTTTCCATTAATAAAGGGACATAACTCAAGAACGGTGAAAGTGACGCAACCAAAATTCGAACTTGATCTGTGTTTTATGGCAATAAGCATTATGGATACAGTTGATATTTGGAAAAGGGAAACTAAAGTTTCGGGACGTACGTACAATGCATAGAAAAACAAACGAAAAGCTTGATATAGAGAAAAAACGTTTCTTACCTAACCTTTAACATAAATTGTATGGTAGTGACAAACAAGAAAACAAAATCAAAATAAAAGTTAAAAAAAAAACAATGGCCTAAGAAGTACAGACAAAATAGAACAAGGTTATAGTTCTAAGAGGCCAGAAGATATATTTTACATGATAAAAGTCCAGAGTTATGATAACCCCAAATTGAATTACTGTTACCGCTGTATAGACTTGCTTTGATATTTAACGTTGTCATTAATAGAATAATGCATAAAAAATGATAATCAGACAATCCATGCAATAAATCATACAGATTGGTTCTAGCTAATGGCTGGAAATCAGTCTTCTTACGATATGTCGATGGAACTAGTTAAGTTATGAAGGAGTCACAGTTAAGAAATACATAATCCACATGAAAGATTCACAGTCGAGAAATGCTCACTCCACATACAAGAGCTACAGTTGAGACACACACATCCCATATGAAGAGTCACATTAGAGAAATAATCATTCCATGTAGAAGAGTCAACAAAGCAATTCTATTAGGAGAGATAAAAAGTAACAAGTTATTTTTTTTCCTATGAAAATGAAGTTTTTCTTGATAATTTCTAAAACCAGGCTCGAAAATGGGCCGCAAATGACAACTTTAGCACAGGACAGGGTAGAGGAATTTTCTTGTGTTATAATATGTGTTTCTGAAAGTTATTTAACTGGATAGAGGACTACGAAATTTGACTGTTATTTAATTTGGTTTGGTGGATGGTTGATGTGTTTTGCATTATGTTCTCCTTGCCTTCCCTTCAAATATACACATGAGTAACCATTTAACTAAATTTTTCATAATATATACCATAAAACAATAAAAATCATTCAAATAAATAAGTAAATAACTGCTTTAATAATCAGTAAAACTAATTCATGTTTGTTATCACTTCTGTTTACACTTTTAGGATAAGATGATACAAAATCTTTCTTCTGATCAATTTTATGGCATGGGTATATATGTTAGTTGTTAGTCCGATATGAACACGACAGAGAAGAATGAGATATAACTGTCATGTACAGATTCAGCATTAACATAAAAACCTGCGCGATGAGCTATGACAAGTTGATCTCCTTTTGCTACCTGTACAGGGATGCTAAAGCTTCCCTCATTATTAGGCCCCCCATATTCTGCTATGATTGTTATCATTCTTATTAAGCCAAACATGTAGATGTTTGCCGTTATTTTATCTCACTTTTCACGACACTAAGTACAACCCGGCTCTTGGAACTGTAAATACCCCGTACTTGGGTTGTACCCTCCTCCGACGTTGAGTAGGACTTTTTCAAATATTAATATCTAGCCTATTTCTAAAGATATGAATTCACTAGTTTTAAAATGAGCAGTAAAGGTTTTTGGATTTCTGTAAACAACAAAACATAAACATTAACATGATAAAATATAATACATATCTTAGATTCAACACAAATGTACCCTATTGGAAAAAAGAAATGGGAACGATGCCTTTTTCTGTTTAACTTGCTATCGGAAGTGCTTTTCTCTGACTTCCGGTGAGATTTTGATGTCTGGATTATGTCACGTCACTAGAAATGAAACGTTATCCAATGTAACCAAATTTAAATAACTCATTACCACAACATATTATCTGGATTTGTTTGAAATGTATGGTGTACTACTTGGTTCAAGAGGTAAATTTACTGATTGTTCCCTAAACTATATCGGTTTTTCCAATATTTTACCGATTAAGCACCATTTGTAGTTGTTAACCGGTATTTTATGTCGAGGAATCGCTATTTTATCGATTTTTTTTTGTGTTATTGAACAAGGTACTCCGAAATTACCCCATAGTACATTTGATTGTCGACTCAATATGTAAAAGATATGTACTTATAGAATTAACATTATTTGTATCTTTTTAAAATGTCAAGCAGGTACTTCAATAAATATGTGTTTTTTATATGGGCTTTTACTGAGCTGTCAACAAGAGATACATGCTGTATTATATCCCTGCAACATAAAAAAAATATATCACATATAAAAAAACCAAAAAGATGGTAATATTTCCTTGAATGGAGATTCGAAGACTAAGCTTATTACCTGTAAAAATTTAATTACTGTTTGTTTTTACTTCACTTAATTGTAATAAGACAAAGTTCCTTAAAAGTTAACACTTTTTACTTGTTATTTGTCAGCAGATAAAAAAATGTAGTCTCTAAAGGAATAAACCATCTTTATCAATAAAGAGACGCAGTTGTTGAATATTTGCATATTGATATGTATTGAAACTGCCAGTATGAAACAGATTCTTTCTACTTTTCGTTCCATTCGGTTTGTAATTCTATGAAAAACATTAAAAGACATAGGAGAATTATAATATTAGATGAAAGCGAATTTCAATGGACTGTTTATACGATGTTGAAGTGAATTGGATTATTGCAATGCATCGTGCATTGTACATGGTACAAAATATTGTTTGCATAAACACAAGAAAAAATGTAAAAAATGAAGATAGCTTAAGTGTCCAATCGCAGGATAGTTATTATTTTACTGTCTTTCGTATAACCGAATGTTTTGCACATTTTATCAATGACTTTTTAAATAAGAGTAAAATGCGGGATATTGTTTTGAACTTTTTGAAAAATCTCGTTAATAGAATGTTTTTAGTTTATTGTATTGACACCTTGAATTAAAAAAAAAAAAAAATACATATGTATGAAATACGTCATATGTTCAAAATTATGACTTAAGACCGGCTGATTTCAGTACTTGTATTATTTTTAAATTTTGTGTTAATTTTCTGCATTTTGGCCTAAATATTCTAGCATTAAATTCAGAACTGTAAAATAACACCACTTTGATATCTTATTATAAATATAAAGATACAAAATGTATAGAAAAGGTCTTACCCCCTTAAAGCTGTATTGTTTTATAAAAAGTCTTAATTAATGATTTTGATGTGGTTTGGTTTACTTTTTAGTAAGGCATAGGCCCATACCTATTATGTCCAAAATAAGTATTCGTTTACGTGCTTTAAAAAAAATCAGATATGTTTGTAACATCATAGTAACATCACAACTATTTTGTCTGCATTTTAAAAGTGTCCAGATTATACCTTTTATTCAATGTATATATATATGAACGTCACACGAGTATGTTATGTTGATCAAGTTTCTTCGAGCGAATTACTGTTTACTTATCTTATATATGAGGAAGGCTATATGTCATTAATTCGAAGCAGCTTGATGCACGGCGAAAAATTATTAATAAAAACTGTAGGTTACCAGAAACAAAACTCAACAATTAACAAAAAGAAATTATGTGTCCGCCAATAGATACTTGTATGCCCAAGTCAAATCCATACATCAATCACAAAAAAGTGTAATTCCATGACGTATTTTCATTACTTAATAATAAGTTCAAATTTAAAAAGATGTTTAGATAAACATGTATTTGTTTTTTTTTTGTCATCTAGGATTTTCATATACTTATAAAAGTTTGCAATCTAATCTAATAAATAAGTTAACTATATCGTACTTTCCTGTTAATTCGACCTGCTGATACAATTTGTAATGTATTTTGTTATTGAATGTTTACTTATTGTCACACTGTTTTTAATAAATACCACCTTTGATAAGTGTTTAGTATGACGATAAGTTTTCCCATTTGTACTCGTACTAGGAACAACAAAATTATTTCCGTACTCCATGTATACCTTACAACAAAATTATTTTTATTTACCTATGTACGTTATTTTATTTGGCGGCATTTTGTCCAAGGTTATGGTTGTCTTTTTGATATTGTTTTATGTCGTAACTACAATACCCTTCCCTTTTCACAAATGTGACCTACCGAATTAGACTATTTACCGGATTTGTAATAACATAAGCAACACGACGGGTGCCACATGTGGAGCAGGATCTGCTTACCATTCCGGAACACCTGAGATCACCCCCAGTTTTGGTGGGGTTCGTGTTGCTTAGTCTTTAATTATCTATGTTGTGTCATCTGTACTATTATTTGTCTGTTTATCTTTTTATTTTTGGCCATGGCGTTGACAGTTTGTTTTCGATCTATGAGTTTGACTGTCCCTCTGGTATCTTCAGTCCCTCTTTTGTTGGTGTGGTTCATATGTGTTTCTCGTTTCTCGTTTTTTATATAGATTAGACCGTTGGTTTTCCTCTTTGAATGGTTTTACACTAGTCATTTTTTGGGGCCCTTTATAGCTTGCTCCGTGTTGAAGGCCGTACTTTGACCTATAATGGTTTACTTTACAAATTGTGACTTGGATGGAGAGTTGTCTCATTGGCACTCATACCACATCTTCTTATATCTATGTATTTACAATTAATTGTGTTTCCTTGAATTGTTTTACATCTAATTACCTGTTCGATCAAGCTTGGCTGAAATTTCCCGAATTCTTTTTTCATTCACGTATACGTACATCGACATCAGTGCTGCAATACACATGGCTGCTATTGCTTAAAATAGAATAAATATATAAAACTGCAGTTTTGTAATATATTTTACAGACTGGCAGGATAGAAATGATGAGCAAGTCTTTCTCTGATGAAATTTTTAAACAAATCTAGATTTTTTTTTAAAAATAGACCTATCGAAACTTTATGCAGCAAACATGGTTAGCAAATAATATCTACAAACAAATCAATATGGTCGAAATATTTAATTAACCCATTATATAAGTCTTTGCCCTTGAAAGATGATCTTTAGTATTTTTTTGTAGCTTTTTGGCAGAAACTATTACAGATAAAGAGAAGCTGAAAACAGCAATAATTGTCAAGAAAATAGGATCTTAAACAAGTCAACATGATCGAAATATTCAATTGACCCCTTATTATTGCTCCTTTAAGACAATTTACCTATTTGTAGGGTTTTTGTTTGCAGAAACCATAATAGATAACCTTCAATTGCAAATATTTTTGGCAATAACTACAATTAAATCAACATGGCCTAAACTAATATTTGCCAAATCACCAATTGACCCCTTAAGGAGTTGTTGTCCTTGAAAGACTATTTTTATTCATTTTTAGCCGGGTTGGGCGATGGCCTAATGGGCTGGCGGACGATAAAAAGTGGATAACTTATTTGTGTAATCTATTTTTCCTTCAGTTTTCAACCCAGAACCCTGAAAACTTCACAGGAAGATTGCACACATGATGAAGTTGTGTACCTGTTATCAAGGAATTGTTTGAGGAATTTTTCCTCATTTATCCAGACATGGGATGTATTTTAGTTGATTTTAGTCTCTGATGCATGATTTTTTATTAATTGTTTTTGGCTTTTAACTAGCTTTCAGTAACTGCGAGTACTCCTAAAACGTACTTTCATGTTAATTTGACATGTTGACACAATTTGTAATGCATTTTTGTTATTCAATGTTTACTTTTTTTGTGTTATATCTCGTCTCACTTTTTTTAATGTGTACCACCTTTGATAAGTATTTAGTATGACGATGAATTTTCACTTCTGTTCTCGTACTATGAACAACAAATTTATTTATTTTGTAAAAAATATTTCCGTACTCCTAACAACAAAATTATTATGTTTAAATTTACCTGTGTACGTTATTTTATTTAACGCCATTTTGTCCAAGGTTATAGTTGTCTTTTTGACATTGTTTTACATCCCCCTTTTTTATTTAATATTGAATTTATATTGTGTCATAGATCAAATTCATTCGTTCAGTGTATGTTTACTTGTTTTTGTTAATATGAATCTTTGATTGAGTTAAGCCATTTCAATTGATATTTTATAGTGTCGATGGTGATAATGACATTTACTGATTTGAGCAAGATTTAAATATTAAAGTACACTCTAATTATATGAATAAATAAGTCGTTAATTTTGTTAAGGTATTCGAATATGTCAACTTTGAGCAAGTTTTAGATTTTAATGTGCATTTTTCGGCTAGACATAAGTATGATAAAGGAGAAAAAGACGTTTGCTGAGTCAAGCAAGTTTTAGTTTTTAATGTGTATTCTTCGGATATATTCTAACGATGAAGAAAGGAGTTATAAGTGTGACAAAGGTAAAATGACAGTTGCTGAGTCGATCAAGTTTTAAATTTAAATATGACTGTGTATATACCAGTTTTGAATATATATAATTAAGTGTGGTGGCGGTGTATATAAGTGTATAAGGAAGAAGTTCTACATTAAATGGAAGTGCCAGAAATGCTGATTTCAAGATATAAGGGATTTTACATTTCAATAAGGGATTCTACACTTCAAGAGGATTATCTGACTGAGGTGGTTCATCTGATAAAGGTGGAAATTACAGAATAGGTAACAGGTAACAGGTGTCTTTCTATGTTGTAATGTTACACTACTATTTACGGTTAGGGTGAAGGTTGGCGTCTGTTAAAACGTTTAAACCCGCTGCATTTGTTTGCACCTGTCCTAAGTCAGGAACCTGTTGTTCAGTGGTTGTTGTTTGCTGATGTTGTTCTTAAGCGTTGATCGTTTTTTATATAGATTATACCGTTGTTGTTTTCCTGTTTGAATTGTTTTACACTAGTCATTTTGGGGCCCTTTATAGCTTTCTGTTCGGTGTGAGCCAAGGCTCCGTGTTGAAGGTCGTACTTTGACCTATAATTGTTTACTTTTTACACATTGTGACTTGGATGGAGAGTTGTCTCATTGGCACTCATACCACATCTTCTTATTTCTATATATGAGAACTTAATCATTTTTCAGCAAAATTTAGGAAAGAGGGTACAAGTTTTGTGTAATAAACTGCTCCTACAGTTGTTCAACCCAGATCCCTGAAATTTCAAGGAAAGATTGCATACATGTTGAAGTTGTGCACCTACTATTATGGAATTGTTTGAGGACTTTTCCCTTTCTTCCAGACTTGGGAACTTAGACATTTTTCAAATATTTAAATATTTAGTATAGAGTATTTTTCAATGTTTAAGAAACATTCTGTGCAACCCGGCCATTTTGTCTTTGATCTAGTTTCGTAGTTTTTTTGTAGAAACAAAAATAGATAGAGGGAAACTTTAAATGGAAAATATATTCAGCAAAAAAGTCTACAAATAAGTCAACACATTGATAACCGAAGATATCAATTGACCCCTGATAAGAATTATTGCCTTTTGAAGAATATTTTTACCATTTTTACCCTTTACAAAAAAAATATGCAGAAACTTTAATAAATAGGTAGATACTGTAGATACAATAGAAAACATTATTAGCATTACAATCTATCAAAATGCCAACATGGCCAAAACCATTGGATGACTCATTAAGGAATCATTGCCCATAATTGACAATTTTGACTTATTTCATCTTTATAAATTTATAAAATGAATTCATCTTTATAAATTTATAAAATGAATTCAATTACCAAATATAAATGCTTATAAACAATATTGCCATTAGAGTTGTGCAATACCTAGAATCTATACTCGAAGACCATCGTGTATTATTTGTGAAGGGTCAAAATCTGAAAATTGTTAAAACGTACGGGTATTCGAATATTGAAGAGTCAGATGTAAAAAAAAAGCAAGACATCTTGTTTCTAAATGATTTTCAAACATTCCGCTACGTCGTTTTCTTTCTTTCTTTCTTTCTCATTCCCTCACCCCCGTCCGCCAAGGAATTCTTTTTCATTTTCTCATTATCTTACACAATGGTTTCAGTAAATCTGTCCAAATAAAATCTATACCAGTGAAAAAATTCAATGTATATATATATATATATGAGCATCATCGAGTATGGAATGTAGGTCAAGTTTCTTCGAGAGAATCACTGTTTAATTATATGACGTCTTATATAATAAAGGAAAACCAGTGAGATATACGGCGAAAGATCATAAATAAAAAGAACTGTACGGTATAGATAGATTATTGAGACAGCAAACCACACAACAACAAAAAATATGTGTCCACCAAAAGATATCTGTATGCATAAATCAAATCCTTGCATCAAACTCAAAGAATACAATTGTTTGACGTATTTTCATAATTTCAAATTTAAAACAACGTTTAGATTTATTTGTCTTTTATCATCAGCGATTTTCACATACTTTTAAAAGTTGTATTTTCAATTTAATGGTGCAGCACGATCGTTTAATGTATGTTTTGTTTATAAAGAGGAAGTCTTAAAATAAGTTAATTACATGTACAAATTATTATTTTTTTTAATTCTTTTACATCTCATTACCTGTTTTATCATGCTTGACTGAAATTTCCTCAATTCCTCTTTCATTTTCATATACGTATACGTACATAGCCATCAGTGCTACAACAATAGCATTAATGAATAATAATACGTTGCTCATATCTTTTAAGTGATTTCTTTAATAAATTGCTATTGAAGATCATGTATAAACCATACAGTCGTGTGTGTGTGTGTGTGTGTGTGTTTTATTCTTGTCTGGACAGCTATTCGCAACAATAAACAAATGGAGATATTTCATATAGAATCAATAATCAGTCGGATAAGACGACGAACGATCATATTACATTAAAACATAGCATGTACCAATGACAAATTAAAGATTTGTATCACTGATTTCAATTGAAAATTATCGATTAACAGGTTAAGTAATGGAAGGTGTGGAGATTTTGTTATAAGTCCGTATCTTCTACATAATGAAATGCCTGTACCAAGACAGGAATATGACAGTTGTTTCCCATTCGTTTGATTTATTTGAGCCTTTGATTTTTTCATTTGATAAGGGACTTTCAATTTTGAATTGTCCTTGGAGTTCGGTATTTTTGTTATTTTACTTTATCTACTCAACTTATTGTAATTTAATGACATACAATACAGTCACAGGGGACGCTGACATCAAACTGTGAAAGATGCATATCGACTGATTTTAATCATAAACTTGAAAACCAGTACATTGACACCTTTTAAAAATGACATTTGACTTGATTATGTATGAAGATAAATACACAGCAAAAATGCCTGTTTTTTCTGAAATCACGAAAATTCAATAATAATTAATTATTTCCAAAGAATTGTTGCACAAATTAAGAGCATACTTATGTTGCGAAGATATTCCAAATGTTTTTACAAACATCCGCTTGTGTTTATCTTTTAAAACAAAAAGATATTAGGCTAAAATGAAAAGATGAATATTAACAAACTATATTGTCTGCTTGTTAATCAGCATTAACAAAACTTTGAATATTTTAGCTGAAACTTGTATAGAATATTTGAATGAGTTGAAGAAAGCTTCATTTCGATTGACACATAAATTTGCTTTGTCGTTTTAGAGTTACAGGACTTTAATCGTCGGATTTTGGTCAAACTAGTTACATTTCGCGCACTATCTCTTAGTGCTTTGATTGATTTCCTCAAAAAGCTTTACACCATTGTGTTTAAAGTTGTACTCACAATTTTCACACATTTGTATCACACAAGATAAATATTTATATCACATGCATTTTGCACAAATGTATATAAGATTCTCTCGTGGTAATCACGGGATAATCACGTTTTAAACTACTCAGGTGATTTGCACGTTTCAGTTTCACATTTATATCACATTTAAATTTTGGATGTGATTTCAACGTATAATCACATGTTCATTTATTTTCACGTTTTTGTAACGTGTAAATTTCACGTTCTCCTTTTTAAATTTGCCTCGGATTTCGGTATTTTTGTCGTATCCTTTTCACATGCTTATTTTTAAACGTTATTGTCGCATGTGCACTTCATATTAATCATGGTAATATCACATGCATTACATATGTACGTTGTTTTTGCATTGGCCATGTTACAGAATAAGCAGATACTAACAAATCATATACATATTTATGGATTCTAGACGATCCGATGCATATCTAATTTGCTGGTCGGTCGTTTTTAAGGATTTCTTTATGCATAAACATGTAAGGTCTTTCACATAAAATGAAATATAGTAAGTTTTAAGGTTGATACACTGACTAAATAAGATTTTTCCTAAAAAGACAAGGTTTGCTTGGCTTTGATCATAAAATAACTACAGAATCATAGAAGTAAGTAAAAATTTACAAATGAGGTGCTGTTTCAACTGACCAAGATGTTGGTAAATATCTAGATGTTTCTATAATGCCTTCTATTCTATATTTATGAATTTAAAACTAAGGTTCATCAAACATTTATGCATTTGATAAAACCACTTACAGTTGCCTTCATATCAGCTTACAACTACATTAAGTGTGATACAAAGACTGCTAAAGTAACTGTTTTCCCTATTTTGATCTAAACTCAAAACAGACAAACATAAGGTCAAGGTCATATGATGTATGTTAGACGGTCTTCTCACCACCAACTAATATGCAAACCTTAAACAGCCTAAAACGGAAATAAACATACCAAATATTGCTGACCTATCATGTATAGTAGATTTCTTCCCATAGACTGAACCTCAAAAAAGAGTTTGAGGTCAGGTGACAATGACTGGTTGACAAGTTCTCGTCATGAACTGTATCCAAACAATTTTATTGTCTAGATAAATATGGGGATACGATATTTCTCACCATTCTTACCATTAGTGGTGTGTTGATTTTATGCAGATATTTAATATACTGAAGTTTTTTCTAAAAAACTACTAGTAACTGATAACAGATAATTGTAACAATAGGAAAGGATTACTTTACTAAATGTAGATTTAAAATTATTGTCTTTTGTTCTAGCACAACGCGTAAAGAATATACTACCAAACATTATTAATGAAGATCAAACAGGGTATATTAAAAACAGATTTATTGGTTTTAATTTGAGACGGATGTAAGACATTATTGATTAAGCAGACGCATATACGATTGAGGGGGCAATAGTTTTTGTAGATTTTACCAAAGCTTTTGATTCATTGGAATGGGATTTTATGTTAATCACTTTGAAACATTTTGGATTTAACAAATCATTTATAAACTGAGTAAAAACATTATATACTGGGTTACAAACTTGTGTTATTAATGATGGATGGATTTTAGAAATTTTTCAAAACTCAAGAGAACTAAGGCAAGGGTGTCCCTTATCAGCTCTCCTTTTCATTTTATCTGTGGAGATCATGGCTTTAAGACTTCTAAAAAACAGAGATATCAAAGGGTGGTAGTTAAATTAGATAATAAAAATCATAGCATTAAAATTTCCCAACAAGCTGATGATACGACTTTATTTCTCAGTAATAAGAAAGAAATTAAAGCTGCAATCAACAAAATAGAAATGTTTGGATCATTTTCTGGTTTAATTTTGAATAAAAATAAAACAGAGGGTATATGGAAAAGAAAACTGAAAAATAGCAAAGATAAGAAAGCCGGGATTAATTGGACAAATAAACCAGTTAAAGCATTAAGAATATATGTTGGTCATAACAGAGAAGAATGTTAAAAATTAAACTGGGAGAATAAAATTGAGAAAATGGATAAATTATTTCATTTAAGGGGGAAACGTAATTTAACTTTAATCGGGAAAATACTTAATATACAAATATTAGTTTTACCACTTTTTACATTTTTGACAAATGTCTGTACAGTTCAAGAAATATAGAAATGATATAGAAAGTAAATGCTATAAATACATCTGGGGTGGTAAATCATATAAGGTTAAAAGAAATACCATGATTAAGTCATACGAAGAAGGGGGATTACAAATGATTGATATACAAAGTTATTGTGTGTCTCTTAAAGCATTTTGGGTAAGTAAACTCATTAATAACGGTATTTCAAACTAGAAGTGGATTCCTTTAAAATATGTCAGTGTGAATGGTATAAATTGTTTGATTTTTAAGATGAATTTTGAAGAGAAGAAAATTCTAGATTATATCAAAGACATCCCTGAATGTTATAGAGAAGTATTTAAATGTTGGGTAATATCAGGTGGTTGTCAGACAAAAAAACCTACAAACTTCACAGAAATAAGTAATCAGGTAATTTGGGAGAACAAACTGATTAATTTTCAAAATAAAACCATTATTTTTGAAAATTGGATAAAGGGTAACTTGATATTTGTCAATGATACTATAGATGTCACAGGTGATATATCTCAACATTTTATTTTGCAAAAATGAGTCTGAAAGAATAATTGGATAGCAGAAATAAAGATTTTGAAAAAAGCCATCCCAAAAGACTGGCTTCAGATGTTAAAGAATGAAAGTTCTATTAAGAGTATTGTAAATATTCCTGAACATAAATTGATTTGGAAAGGTAATTACATTGAGGCTACACGTTTTTCAACAAACATATTATACAAGTCAATTTGTAGAGATAAAACTGAACCCTCAATTGGTGTTAGCAAATGGATGCGTATTTTACAAATTATTGAGAGCCTTAGCATTAATCAATTATGTTTTTTCATGTTTCATTATTTAGAAGAGAATAAGTTAAAAAATATATAGATGGAAACTTTTGCAATTCATATTACCAACAAAAAACTTATAATTTAAATGGAAACAGAAGAACGACGGTCTATGTAATGTATGTAACGAAGAAGAAGATTATAACCACTTTTTTATTTCTTGTTGATTTTTAGAAAAAATTTGGAAAAGTATTCATGAGTTAATGAGAAAATCAAATTTTGATTTTAGCGTATCTATATGTAGATGTTCTCACTCATTGCCATTTTTTCTGCAAACATTCAAAGATATTTTGAAATAAGAAATTGTAATAATAGCTTATCAAGTTTTGTGTTGCCTTAATCAAATCATTGAATTGAACGGTACTGATCATGTACTAAATAGACAAGACAGCATATACAAGTTTTATTGTATGATTCTTTAATTGTTCAATGATTCAAATAGGATCAGACACAGTTTAAACTTATGAAGTTCCTTTTAAAACAATTTATTTCTAGTCATTTGTGTCAATGATTCTTTTATCTTTACATGTTAGCACCCTAATATACCCTTCTTTTTAACATAGTTATATATTTCAAACCTCACCTAGATCCTCAAATATTGACAAATACTTACTATGTGAAAATTTCTTATGATTATAAAAAAAAAGAAGTAAAAGGCATGGTGTATATAGACATTTTTTTTAACAAGGCGTTAATGCAAATCACACTGATGTCACAATTTTCCTCGAGGCATTTATAATTTTATAAAGGTATCTTAATTAATTCAGATAATTCGGTAAATGAATATGATATATTGAATAAACATATATTAGTAATGTTCCCGTAAAATTAGGTTAATGAAAATAAAATAAACATTTTGAAAGCTTGTTTGTATATAATACTACTTTTTAGGACAATGATTTGTATATTAATGTCTACTATACAAAGCCTTGTTTTGGACTTTGGATAATCAAACGCTCAATATCATATATATATATACGATCTTTTTGGCTGTTTTCTGCTCACTTTAAACATGTTAAATTAAATTAATAAAGTTGCGTGTGTTGGGTTAAAATGGTAATATTAGTCACGCAGTATATTATTAGAAAATGAAATGATATTGGATTTAGTTAATTAAATACACTCAGCAATAACAACCAATACTAGTAAATTAAATGTTGTTTTTTTTTTCAAACAAAATGTTTTTATCTCTTATCTATTTATTTTTCTTGAGGAGGTTATACATATCCCAAGTATAATTTTAATATATTAACATTATCATCGGACAATTTATGATTGTTAATTCGGCGTTCGTGTTTACCTGTACCATTGAAGTTTATTATATTGACCACATTATTTCCATGCATGGCAGGATTTAATTTTTTTGCGTTGAATAGATTTAATGATGAAAAATATTCATTTGAAAAAAAAGGAAGTATCAAGAACTATTCCTGTACGTATTTGATATTTCTATATACAAAATTAAAGATAATAATGAAAAATGAACGTCGAAATCTATGAAGAAGATATTTACGTATTAAAAAGGAAGAAAACTGATTTATATAATACCTTCGAATTGTGACATGACTTCACGAACAAACTTTCAGTAAAAAGGAAATATAAAGACAGAAACCGATTTTTGAATGGAAGTTACTGAATTATAATTTTTTTTTTTTTAACTTTTATACGTCCATGCAATTTCCAATTTTAAATAGGAAGAAAAAAGATATTTAAGTACTAGAAACAGTCAGAACCGTAATAACATTTTGTTCTGTGGTTTGTATGTTGTGTCGACTAGACTATTATATTATTTGTTTGTGCGTTTCTCTGTTATGAATGTTCTTGCGTGTGTTTGTGCTGTATTTCTGTCACGTAGTGTTTTAGCGATATTTTTTAACATTGTCATAAAGCGGGAGGTTTGGCATGCCATGAAACCAGGTTCAACCCACCATTTTTTCTTAAAACGTCCTGTACCAAGTCAGGAATATGGCAGTTGTTATCAAATAGTTCGTTTCTATGTGTGTTGGCGTTTGTTTTTATTGCACTTCGGTGTTCCTGTTGTTCCTTTGTTTTCCTCTTAAAGTTGATGTGTTTTCCTGAATTTTGGTTTGTAACCAGGATTTGTTTTCTCTAAATCGATTTATGACTTTTGAACACCGGTATACTACTGTTACCTTTATTGATATACCAATGATATATGTATATGTCTATGTCTTGATAAATTTAAAATGTACATTTTATGCCAACTTACTTTTTATTTAATATTGTCCCGTCTACACATACCGTCCAAAGAATATTGTTCCGAAGTGAAAATTACCTACTGTACACTTCTTTGTCATTAATACTTCAGTCTTTTGATTAATAGTGCTTCCTTATCACAACTTTATATAGTCCTTCTTTAGTTACTAACTATTGATGCAATAATTTAGCTTTGAAACTTACAAATGGGATGCATTTAGTTCGTCTGAATAAAGTCGAAATAAATGGAAGAGGCTATTGGGAGTATACTAGGCGTTCCGTTTTCGCGCAACTGTTTAACACAATACATATTATTTTGTATGCAACTTCACCTAGAAGAAACTTGCTATATGTCATGGTTTATTGGCTTTCAAAAGTCCATTTAAAATAGATTTAAAGTGACTTAGGCTGAACATGACATAGTAGTGAACATATCAACACGGAGCAAAAGCTCTAAACTCATTGCAAAATCAAGATGACCCCTTGCATGTGATATGGGATAAGGGCTAAGTATATACATGCCAGTCACTTCTTTACTCAAACATCTTCTTTTAGTCAAACGGACAATCAAAACACATTCGAAGAGGAACTGACGGAATCAGGGCAAACAATGGATATCGACGAAAGACAAACAAAAGTCTACAAATACTACGTAAAAACCCTAAGGCTGACCTACACTAACCCCTTTGAAAACCGGGAATAGTCTCAGGTGCTCCGGATTGGTAATCAGATTTTGCTCCACGTGCAGCACCCGTGTGTATATGTGTTTGGTGAAAGTGATCAGCTTGATTACACGTAAACCATGCATACACTGCTTCATTTGTATTTATTATACCTTACATACATCATAAACAATTCGAATAGGTTATACAATATCACGTGACATGGAATAATTCAGTTAATTTTAATCTAATCCAAGGAAGCACGAATAACCCTAAAAATAAAAACACTCAGCGATGAATAACCCTAAAAATAAAAACACTCAGCGATGAATAACCCTATAATTTACCGGCGAATATCTTTTTGAGCCTTTTTTTATTCTGTACGAGTTATCTCTCGGAAGAATGAT